TTGAGTCCGTTTTCTTTGTGGTCAACTGCATGAATATATATTTGCCTCAGGTTATATACAAAGTTCTATATGTCCATTAAAACAAATGTATTATTTGTGTTAATTAAATTATTTCTGTGTTTACTGATCATCTATTATGTTCTGGACGCTGCATGATGTGCCAAGTGTGCAGTGGCACAAAGACAGAGCATTCCTATTTACTGCTATATGACATTTATTGTATGGGATATACCACAGTTTGTTTATTCAGTCACTTCTTAATGACTATTTGGATTACTTCCAGTTTTTAGTATTATAAATAAAGATTCTATGAACTTTTTTGTTTAAGTTTTTGTGTGGAAGTACGTTCTCATTCCTCTTAGGTAAATAATTAGAAGTGGAAAGCTTTAGTCTCATGGTAGCCATATTATATTAATCTTTATTGACAGCACAAAATTGAATTTGGACTTTGGAACTAAATGTGGATTTTGCCTTATAATAGGACAATGGAATCTTTACATATTCATGGATCCAACTGAGCTATAAAATCTCATATATGTTACTTTTTATGCTTTCTTATCGTTTTTCTACTTAAAATATGTTTTCCCTGATAATTTTCACTTTTCTGTTGTATATTTTCCAGAATATGAATATATTACAGGGTAATAGTACCATCAAGAGGTTCTACAAAAAGTAGTTTCTGTCATTAAATAAATTGAGAAAGTGCTTCTTAGAGATTTACAATTCATACTTGTATTTTAAGGACTATGAGAAGTCCTGCTTAAAACTACTCAGTGATTTCCCCTTGCTTTTAGACCAAATTCCAAATTCTTAACACAGCTCATGAACTCCTGCACTCTGACCCCTACTAACCTCATGACAGTCTGACTTGATTAGTTCAGTGAATGTACCAAGTTCCTTCCAGCTTCAGGACTTCACACAAATGATTCCTTCTGCCAGAGCTCTTTTCTCTATCTCCACACACCTGGATAATCTCTCATAATTCTTCTGGTTAACAAATTAAATATAATATTACAGAAACCTAGAATATAGATCAGGTCTACATTCTAAACTCTTAGAGCATCCTGTGCTTTTCTTCTGTAGCACTGGTTACAATGACAATTGCATAGTTACATGTGTAAATTTGATTTATGGCTGTTTTTGTAGCTGGAATATAAACTCCATAAAAGTAGGAACTTGTCTGTCTTGTTTCCAATAGTCACCGTATCTGCCTGTTTTAGACAAATAGTAGGACTTCATAAATATGTATTGAACGAATCAAGAATCCAAGTAATTTTACTTAACCGTGTATTTCCAAAGCTTATTTGACATATCTCTTCCTAATTATCTTGCAGAATTAGTATTCAATCAATAATGCTCTTAGGAATGGAGGGGTGTGTGTGTGTGTGTGTGTGCGCGCGTGTGTGTGTCTTGCTGGTAATTACCCTGTTTACTCACTTAATAAATATTTATTGGGTGCTGCTGTGTGCTAGGCACTGTTCGAGGCATTCTTCTAGGCACTGATAATTCAGCAGTTTCTAAGCCCAGATAGTTTACCTTTAGCAATATTCAGCCAGTAAATATCCAAAAGTAAATAATATATTAGTAATGAGTGCTGTGAAGACAAAAAAATAGATCAGGATAAGAAGATATGAAATGACGGCTGAGCTTTAATTTAGAAAGGTGGTTAGAGAGGACCTCTCCCATAAGGTGACTTGTGAGTGAAGATCCAAAGATGAATAAGCTGTGCTTGCTGTCTACAGGAAAGAGCGTTCCTGATAGAGGAAAGAGAAATGACAAAGTGCCTGTGGTGGGAACATGTGTAGAGATCTGAGTGCAGTTATAGCAAGAGAACAAACAGGGAGAATGGTCAGACTTGAGGTCAGAGAAGGTGGAGAAGGGCACTGGGTTATACAGGAATACAAAGGGCTTTGGATTAACTCCAAAGGATACGTGAAGACACTGAGCAGAGCAGGAATATAATGCATATTTTAGGAAGGTTACTAGCTCTTTTGTGGGGAGCATCTGTAGGAGGAGGAAACTTTCTAGGATTGTCTTATAACAATCTAGGTAAACAAAGTAGACTACGGTGTTAACGGCACAGGTGGTGAGAGATGGTGAAATTCTGGATATATTAAATGTAAAGACACCAGGATTTGCTAATGGATTGTGCGTAGAAGACTGAGAGCTTGGACTGTGGATGAGGAAACCTAAGTTTGGTTTGATCACACTAAATTTGTGATGCCTGTAAGAAACCCAAATGAAGATATGGATAAAAATCTGTAAGTTTAAAGTCAGAGATGTCAGTTCTAGAGATATAAATTTAGAAGTCAACAGCCTACTGATACTATTTTAGGGACTGGATGAGATACTCAAATAAGTGAGTATAGATCAAAAAGAAAAAGAGTCTAAGAACTAAGCCTTTGGGACTTAAATGTTACATCATCTATAGTAGTTAAAATTGAAACCTCATCATATGAAAAGTAAAATGGACATCTTTTTCTTTTCTCTCTATCTCCTGGATTTTTTATTGTATGAGAAATTTTCTCTTTTCATTCATTTTTTGAAATGTATCTTCAATAATTATTTAGATTGGTGTATGCTTCCAGCTTTTTCATCTTTATTATTTTATACTGATTCACTTATCAAGTAGTAGCACATGAATTAAAGTAAACACTTTCAGAATTGGTATTAGTCTTTTTATGTCTGTGAATATCTTTTTCTTAAAATTTGAATTACAATTCCACTGAATATGGAATTCTTGAGTTACAGTGATTTTCTTTGTACTTAATAGTTACTGATCTATTATCTTCTAGTAGTTAATGTTAAAAGGAGAAATCTGAGTCCATAGATATTTCTTACCCTTTGTAGTCAACAGTTTATGTGTTTGTTGGCTTTTATTTACTTATTTGTAATTATTGATGTTTGTTTGTTTGTTACTTTTCTTTTTTGTCTGACTAGATGCTCATGGTTTTTTTTTCCTCATAAAATTAAAAGTTTCCATGACATATTCAGGTCTTCATTTCTGTAACGTTTTCAGATTTTAGTATTAAAGTTGTACTTTCTCCATACAATTAATTATAGAACTTTCTATGTTTTTCATTGTTTCTTTATTATTTATTGTGTTTTTCTATGTTTATGCTATTGTTAAAGCTGTGTTATTTACCTTCAATATTGTTCAAATTATATTGAAGGTAAATAATGCAACTTTTACTATTTTCCAAACTCTTCTATGTTGTGCAGGCCTGTTTAAATTCTCTGTTTCTTCTCAGGTCATTTTTATTAATTTATATCTTATCAGTAAATTATATGTCTCTAGGTTTTCAAATGTGGCCCTGCAGAGTTGCATGTTGTATTATTTTCTAATTTTCAGAATTTCTTCCTTATCTATAATTATGTTTCCTTTTCCTTTTGTTTTTATACTTTTACTCTCTCTCTCACTTTACTCCTTAAACAGAATTGTGAAGAGTCTATTTAATACTTCTTTGAAATGAACAGTTTTTGGAGTTATTAATCTTTTCCAACATTTTTTGTTTTGACTAATTGTGACACGTATTTATTCATTCTCCTCTACTACTTTTTAAAAATCCTTTTGTTCCTTTATAACGTTCTTAAATTGAGTACTAAGCTCCTTTGTTTTTATTATCTATTTTTTAAGATAGACATTTTTATTTTTACTAAACCTTAAACATAAGTAACATTTACTAAAAATTTTTCTCTGAGTAGAAGTTTAGACATTTTCTATAGGTTAAAATATAAAGCATGCTCTTAATTGCCTTCTAGAGATTGTAATTTCAATTTTGAATCAATGGCTTTATAAGGATGCTTTTCTTAATTTCTAATCAGCTGAGATTTTATGCCATCTTTTCTTTATTTGTAATTTTATTAAAATGAATGTACTCTATAAAATCTTTCCTTTAAGAATTGTTAAAATTTGTTTTATGAGAGTCACATGGGAGATTTCTGTAAATATTCCATGGTCATATACAAAGAATTTATATTTATTTTTTAAAGAGGTAAAATTCTCTCTCCCTTTCTTCATGCACACACATACACTTGCATACACACATGTACATATATACACATGCACACATACATATATGAGCATTTATGAAACTTAATTTGTTGATTATAGCATGCTGTCTCCATGCTCTTGCATACTGTTGTTCACCAGATCTGTTCGATTATGTGCCTTTGATGCAAACAACCAATAGAAAAATAGATACAAGTTATGAACAGGCACTTTACAGAAAAGGGTCTCATAAAGCCAATACAAATATCGGGAAATATTTACCATCATTAGCATTAGGTGTGTGCAAACCATGAAAACAATGACCCACCATTTTATACCCATTTGATACACAAATTTTTTTTACAGTCTACAATGTTCAGTGTAAGACAGAATGTGGACAGAGAGAATGTTTATATAGTGCTCTACACTTCGAAAACTAGTCAGATATCATTTTCTAATGTTAGTCACCTATCCTATATGCCTAGATATATACCTAAGAAACACTCCATATCTACAGCAAGAGGCGTGTATGAGAATGCTCATTACAGCACTGGTTAACAAAGTTAAAACCCTGTAAAATCCCAAAATTTCATCAATGAGAAAATGGGAGGATAACGATGGCTCAGTGGAATGTTGTATTATAATAAAAAATGAGCTACAGTAACATACAACAAGATGGATGAATCTTATTAATGAGATATTAATAAAAGGTAAATCTCCAAAGATTTTATACATGAAATTCCTTTGTATAACGTTAAGAATTGTGTGTGTGTGAGATTTGAGAACATATAGATGGAAGGGAATTATATAAAAAAGGAAAGCAAGTGTGTGTTCTGTACAGGACTCAGGTGGTGGAAGGGAGTGGGGTAGAATAGGAGAGGGAGAGTATGGTTAGATATAGGTTATTGTTGCTCTTCTGTTTGTTTGGAGTAGGGTATCTCAGGTGTTTATGATGTAATGAAAAAACCACATTAAATATCCAGCTAACTAAATAAAAGTAGGCTGTGAATGGATCAATGATGAGAAAGTATCATGAATGAGGGATTATGAATAATCTATTTTTGTGAACCTGAGGTCAAATAAAAAATAATAAATTGGGCTTTTTTTTTTTTTTTTTTTTTAAATATACACAGGGTCTCACTCTGTAGCCCAGGCTGGAGTGCAGTGGCATGATCATAGCTCACTGTAACCTCGAATCCTTAGGCTCAAGCAATCCTTTCACCTCAGCCTTGAGAGCAGCTAATACTACAGATATGCACCACCATGCCCAGCTAAGTTTTTTTTTTTTTTTTTTGAGGCAGGGTCTCACCTTGTCACCCAGGCTGCAATGAAGTGCCACAATCACAACTTATTGCAGTCTTAACGTCCTGGATTAAAGTGATCCTCCTGCCTCAACCTCCCAAGTAGCCGGGACTACACCCTGCTGATTTTGTATTTTTTGTAGAGATGGGGTTTTGCTATGTTGGCCAGGCTGGTCTCAAACTCTGGGCTCAAGCAATCCTCCCACCTTGGCCTCCCAAAGTGCTGGGATTACAGGCATGAGCCTCTGCGCCCAGCCTAATTTTTTTTTTTTTTTTTTTTTTAATACGGTTTTGTAGAGACGGGGGCCTCCTCATGTTGCCTAGGTTGGTCACAAACATCTGGACTCAAGCAATTCTTCTACCTCAGCCTCCCAAAGTGTTGGGATTACAGACATGAGCCACTGTGCCCAATCTAAATTGGGCTTTTAAAAATCAACACACAATTTCTCTCTTTGATCTGTCAATTAGCTTTAAACACTACCTGTCTGGTATTAGTATTCACACTAACTTTTTTGTTTGTGTTTGTCGGGTACCTCCTTGCTCCCTGCTCTATTTTCAGTGTTCTTTTATAAATCGTTTTAAATGTCTCATAAAATGAATGCTTCCTAACCTTTAACACGCACAAGACTGACCTGCATTTATTAAAAGTTTCTGTTCAGTGGATCCGGGGTGGGACCTGGGATTTTGCATTTCTAGCAGGCTTCAGGGGATGCGAGTGTTGCTAGTTCCACACACTTCAAGTAACAAAGTCGTAAAATATATATATCTGGTCTTTTCTTAACCAAGAAAGACTCAATCTATATTTTAATAAGGGACTTTGGCATATTCACATTTAATGAAAACAATGCATATACTTAATTTTAGTGTTTCCATTCTACTTTATGTTTAATTTAGGGTTTCACATTTTTTGTGCTAGTTGAATTGTCACTATTTATTCACTTTTTCTCTTGTTTGGAAATTCTAAAACCATTTTCTATTCAACTTATGGTGTTTTTCTGTTTCTCAACACCTGCAATTTATTCCTTAAACAAGTATTTCATAAATGCCTACAATCATTTGTTGAGTATGTTTATGTACTATTCTTGGAAAACAAAATGCCAACTGTTTCTTCCTTCCAAGGCACTCTCTTCATCCACTGATTTCCCTACCCCAATACAATGAGATCTTTAGGTTATATTTTCCTTTCCTCTTTTTCCCTACAATATAACATCTTTATAACTCATTCATGCTTCTGCCACCTTTACAACCTCTAGGTATGGCTGAGGTAGCTATCTTTAGGTTTTACATTACAGCATCTGCTTTCTGTTCTAATAATTGTATCTGAATGTTGCTGATTATCCATCACTCTGTCATTATTCCTTTACATTCAATTACATATATTGCAAGGTGCCTCTCTCAATTCTCTTTCCTCTCTTTTTTATTTTCCCCTAATTTAAGTTTTTCCTTAGGATTCTAAAGTTGTTTAAAGTCCTTTTTATTAATATTTTTTTCAGATGGGGTATATGAGTGACATATTTTCTAAATTCTTCTATATCTTCCTCTTATCCTGGTAGGTAGGTGATTACCATCTTGACTGGATATAGAATTCTTGGGTTGCATCTACTGAATTTCAAAATTCAAAACATATATTTCAACTTCAAGAAAGTGTTTGTGCTGTAATTTATTTTCCTTATGGGCTCACAGTGTAATAATGATCATCATTATTTGGTTCAGATTGCCATCTATCTCCTCAGGAGTTCTTTATTAGGGAGCCATCTGAGTGAGGTACTTGGCTTGTTCTTCTACTCTTTAGACACAGTGTTTTGCTCCTTTCTCAGCTCGTTGCTGCATTAGCTCTTGGGGCTCAGGTTCACATGCCATGTACTGTCCATGGAATCAGTGTCAGTGATGAAGCAGAAATAGTAATGTCTGTCCTTGTGGGCCAGTGGTATAATGGCCAACAGGTCATCTCTCAATAATCTCACCTTCAAGGGCTGATGCTCTTTAAACTTAGATGCCAGACACTTCTGCAGCTTCTGGGGAGCTGGGGAGACCAGTCAACCCGACCAACACCGCTTGCTCATGTTTGTTCTGCTCTTTCTCTTGTGGATTCTCTCTACAAGACAACCTAGCTCAGTCTAGAAGGATTCTCAGGGCAAAGCCACTCTTAATTTGGCATGTGGAGCACACTGTAGTGCATAACAAGTAGTCAGGAACATACATGCCTCTCTACTACTGACAAATTCCAGACTCTTCAGCCTGGCATGGAAGGGCTTTCTCCTCTTTTTTTTTTTTTTTGATACGGAGTTTTGCTCTTGTTGCCCAGGCTGGAGTGCAGTGGCATGACCTCAGCTCACTGCAACCCCTGCCTTCTGGTTTCAAGTGATTCTCCTGCCTCAGCCTCCCAAATAGCTGGGATTACAGGAGCATACCACCACACCTGGCTAATTTTTGTATTTTTAATAGAGACAGGGTTTCACCATGTTGGCCAGGGTGGTCTTGAACTCCTGACCTCAGGTGATCCACCCGCCTCAGCCTCCCAAAGTGCAGGGAGTACAGGCATGAGCCACTGTGCCAGGCCTCTCCTCTTACGTTTCTAATCTTAGCTTCTCTATTTCCTTTCCTCTCACGCACCCATCCGGAAAATTCACTCTTCTATGTCCATGCCCACAAATAAGTTTTGGCGCTCCTCCCTAGATTCTTCCTTCAGGCTGGCTGCCATATTCCTAACTATGATTGCTCCCTTCAGATTATTAGCAACACCATGGTCCCCACTACCCAGAGCTTGCTTCTAAGTTCTATGCATCATGGGTATTTGTCTAACCTGATAAGGAAAAGTCCTCTGATTACAATAAATTATGTCACACATCTAGATGTTCAGGGTTCTGCCATGATACCAGTCTTGAATAGAATTTTCCTATGATACCTTTCTGGAGGAGTTGTTCTGCCCGTATCTTCTGAATTAAAAGCCTAGAAAAGTGTTGCAGGTATCGAACTACCATGTTAGACCTTAAGGAAAATGAAAGCTAATGTTATGTTTGAGCAAACAAATCAACCCCTTCCCCTCTTTTCCATTTCTAAAGCAGTAACTAGTGGAATATAAATGTTTCTCTTTTCTTTTTCAACAGAAAGATCTGCATTGATCAGCATGGTAGAAAGTTATGGTTAAAATGATTTTAGAATAACAGACAATGCTAATTATCTGGAAAAATTCCTTGATTGGCTGATTAATTCATTCTTCCATCAATTGCATAAACACTGATTAACTGCTTTGGGTCAGCCTCAACTCTAGTAGCTTTGTTTTAACATTTATGTTCATTCTTTGGATCTAGTTCTTTGATTCAAACAATTAGTGGTGGTGGTATGATTTTTGCTCTTATCACTCAGACTTCATAACTCTTGCTATTTTGTCACTCTTAATATTTATATGACATCTAGTGAGTGATTGATCTTCTATAGGACCCTATGGTCACTCACATTTGCTTATCACTAGCACATAGGGGGCAATCCACAGATTTATGGCTGCCAATAAAAGTTGTTACCAAAAGTACCATTTCTTTTTTTTCGTGTGTGCTAATTTCTAATAACTCTTGTGCAGGAGAGCAATTACTGACAAAAGTCAGCCTCTGTTAATAGAGTTTATCACACTTCATCATATATCCTTTGTCGTTGGAAGCATTTTGACAAGCCCAGGGTTAATTAAAACCAAGAAGACAATAAAATACACCTAATCAAACATAACAGGTACAGAAATCAATTAGCAGATTTATAGTACTTTAGAGGTTTCCATAATGTATAAAATTCAAAGAAACTATCGTTTCCATTTCCTCAAGACAGTGTAATTAAATTTCTAATTGAAACTATTTTTCAGTAGGTAACGTACAGTCCGCCCAAGTTTGATTTGCATTAAAGTGGGGTCTACAGAGGTTGAAAGAGCCTAGGAAATTAAAAAGATCATTGAGTCATTTCCATTATTGTTATTTTGTCTATCTGAAAGTTGGGGGAAAGTTATACTGTATAAAAAGGAAGAGAAAGGAAAAGTGGTGCTTTGCATGATAAAAAGAATAAGTGAAGTCTTCTTATGTATCAAGGATCTCTGTTGTTACTCATTGCAAAAAAAAAAAAAAAAAAAAAAAAGTCTCCAAGGGAGAGTGAACATCTCAAATAACTCTCATGTAATGCACTAGTTTTGTCAGCATTGTTAAACAATTCATCTGGCTTGTTTTCTCAACTTGACAGATTCTTTTGACTGGATTGATTGCAATGATCCATTGCTTTGGTTTCATGGAGATGTGGCCTTAAATAAGCCATGTCTTTTTCAAGTTTTATTCCCCATCCAGCTAAGTGAAATGTGATGCCAGTCACCATGCCGGGAACACATTGTCTCAGTGGAGAATGGGTGAGGATCTGTATGGTCTAGTGTCTGAAAGGCTGTGTTCACTCCCCTTGTGGACTGGTTGACCAATGGGCATTTTCCTCTCTGCCTGAGGGTTTCTTCTTTAAATACTTGCCTACCTCTGCCTGACACTTTCTAGATTATCAATAAAATATCTTAATGATATTTAAACATATAAATGATCATATTCTTTACCTTCCACCTGAAATTATTCTTTTTTTTTTTTTTTTTTTTTTTTTTTTGAGATGGAGTTTCACTCTTGTTGCCCAAGCTGGGGTATAGTGGCACAATCTCGTTTCACTGCAGTATCCATCTCCCAGGTTCAAGTGATTCTCCTGCCTCGGCCTCCCAAGTAGCTGGGATTACAGGCGCCTGCCACCATGCCCGGCTAATTTTTTTGTATT